TTGAAATATTTTATATTTTGTGAAAAACATGTTTAAAGAGAAGCACCAACCTCATTCAGTCTTATTTTGTGCAAAAATCCTCATCATAAGTGGCTTTTTGCAGGCAAACTGTGGATTTCATTGATGGCATTTCCATTTGAAACCCACTCTGGGGATCTGAGGAAATGTTTGTACACTAAAGAGATGTCAGAGAGGCGAGAGCGCCCTCCCTCCATGAGGCCGACCCCAGCGGGGAGAGGTCACCCGTACGGAGACAATGAGGTCCAGATGGCCGGCTTCTGGCCCCCGGCTTCTCCCCGCCTCCCTGATCCTGCCGAGGCTTCGGCCTGAGCTCCAGCAGCCCAGAGCCCCCAGGTGTTTCCACCAGGGGGGGGGGGGCAGGTCCCATGACCCGCAGCCTCCTCCCGTCAAACACGAGATCCAGTCGTGGAGAATTACGTCCGCGCGCTCAAACAAACGCGTCTTTATCTCCCAGAGCCTCTAATGTGAGCTTTACAGGCCCCTAAACTCCCATTTCACCGCTTTAAACTCTTAACTCTGAACTCCAGATGATCCAGTGGGTAGAAAATACTTTTGTTGTCAGTGTGAAAAACAGAGCTTAGCTAATTTGGGAGGTTTGGGCTCGGCAATGATTTAATGAGGACAAATCTGATTTTTTTATGCCTGGAGATGCTTAAAAAACAGAAAAACAGATTTTTTTTGTTTGTTTTGCTTTTAGTAATGGATTGAATAGAAAATATGGATTGCTTCTGTGTGTGTGTGGGTGTGTGATGCAAGCATGTGTGTAGCTAACTGTGTTTATGAAAGTTAAATGAGTAGTAATATATGTAAGGAGGTAGGAGTCAAAGTGAGTGAGTGAGTAGAAATACAGTGAGTAGAAATTATGTAATTATTATCAGTAATAATTATGCAAATACGCAATTCTGAATTTTATAAACGCATTAAAAGTTTCTTTTAACAACAATATCAGTTACTATTGAGCATAAACCTGCAAAAATCCAGAAAAGCTGAATATTTAATAATTCTGACAAGCAAAATCCAAGCAATAAAAATTTTTATATGCATATATATATATATATATATATATATATATAACATAATAAAGCAGAAAAAAGAATAGTAAGAAAACTTCACATCTGAATACAGCAACACTATATAACCATAAAGGAAAAAACTTTTCCCCACCAGAGCATTTTACTTTGACATAACTGTTTTTTTTTTGGTCATTTTTAAAGTGGAATAACTTAAAAAACGTCAAATCCGAGGGAGTCTGACGCCACTTTGAGCTCAGACTGAAAGCCCAGTTCCTGGATCTGCCGGTCCCATAATGGCTCCTCTTGTATTCATGCCTTCACAAAGAGAAAAGCCCCGAGGGCTCCGTAAAGCCTCCGCATTATTCTGTTTATTCATCATTAGCATAATGGACGGATATGAAAGGGTGCCCACTCCGTCTTCCCTCCCAGAGCGGGCCCGCTCATGGAGCTGGATGCTGGAATGCTGCTGGATTTTCGGGTGTTTGCTCCACTTTCTTCAGTTTATTTTTCAGAGTTTCTTGCCCTTTGAGACACACAAAACACACAAAAACATGTGTTTACACCTGGTGTGT